CACCCCCCCTCGAGATAACAAGAATCACATACAAAAAAAACACTCAAACCACCAAGATAGTCTGTCAAAATCAAATACAAATGTAAAATTAAACATTCCCAACTTTTATACCTGTAAGACCTAGCAAAATTATGAATTATGCAAATGTCATAGTATTTAGAGATTTAGTGAGTTCATTCACTGTTATCTGAGTAGTGAGAATATATTCTAAATCAATGACTCTCTGATTCAACTGTCAATATGAAAAATGAAAATATATATTAATATGTTTGCTTTAGACTGTAATAACTGTTATCTTTGTAAGATCTATAGCATTCTTATTATCAGTGAGAATCTGTATCAGAGATATAGTGATAAAGTCAAGCTTAATCATGAGATTCTGAATTTATATTACCTCATGAACTGCCTTACTAAGAGCCATATATTCAGTCTCATTAAAACTTAGAGATATATAAAATTGCTTTACTGAATATTATGAAATTGAGCTGTCTGTGAGTTTAAAAATGTAACTGAATGTTGATTTTCTATCATTATTCAAGAGACTGACTCAATTGAAATCTGAGTAGCTGAAGAGTAGGTAGAAATCATCAGAGAAATCAGAGATAATGAAAAGATTGATAGAAACAGAAAAATTAATAAAAACAGAAGAAATGATGAGAATGAATCTCTCATACAGACTGCATCTGTAGAAAATACTCAGATTCATGATTTCTTTTAAATAATGTATAACATGTAATAGAGTCTTTCAACATTGAGATGTTGAATCAATGTTTCATTGAGTGAGTAGTGAGACAGTATGAGTGATATCAGAATGTGTTTTAACTACAAGATATTATAAGTAACTCATATTATATTAATATCACTGAATTGTGAAATTAGTCTCTTTCTCAGATATAGAGAAATTATCAGTACAGAATTCATTCTTCATTGATATTCTGATAATAGCTGTATTATCAAGATAGAAATCTTTAACAAGATATTTAATATATTGATAATATATTAAATTAATTCTCTTATTCAAATAATTGATCTTTATACTTAAATACTAGATTGACTGATGTAGATTCTTAACTTTCAATTTCTTACTAAGTATACTTACTAGTCAATCAGCATTCTCAGAAGCTTCAGATATGATGTTAAAATCATTAATATAGATTATTATATAGAGATGATATCTGAATGTATAATATCAGAGTACTGAATCATGAGTACTGACTGTAAATTCAAGATCACTCAACAGAGCTATTAAGTAATCATATCAGATCTTTGCTGCAGAGTTCAGACTGTATAGACTACTCTTAATCACACAGACAAGTGTTTTCAGTGAATCTGTCTCAAATTCAGTGAATTATCTTATATAGATCTTCTTAGTAAGATACTTATAAAGATATGTTATCACTATATTCACTTAACAGAGTATTCAACTATGTAGTACTGCTATTATAAAAAGAATACAATTGATAGTATCAGTGATAACAGAAGTGTAGATCTCTTCTCTAGAACTCTTCTTAAATCAGTTATTATAAATCACTTAATATGATTTTCTAAGAATATTATCAGAATCAGTATTTAGATTCACAGACTTATCTTTCTTAAGAAACACTTAACAGTCTGAAGTAATTAATTCATCTCTCAGAATATCAGATCTAGAGATCAAACTTCATGTATTATATCTCTTCAGATTGATAATCTCATATTATATAAACTTCTTTTAATAATCTTCTACTCTTTCTGACTGAGATGTGATATTCTTGTAGAACTTTGAGAGATTGTCTGTAATAAGACTTGAAGTGTAAGTAGTCAGTGATTTCATGAGCTGTAATCATATGAAATTCAGATTATCAATGTCAGAGACATCTTTATTATCAATCAGATGAATATCAGACTTCAGTTTAATAATATAATTAATAAGTTTCACAGATGTAATAACTGATTTTTCAGTAAGCAGAAATCTCACATCACTACTGACAATAATCTTATCAGATTCAGAATGTCATAGATAATATATCAATATACTACTGAATTCAATGATATAATAGAAATTGACATATAAAGAATGCTTATTCACAGACTGCTGAGATTCATACAAGTGAATAAAAATCTCTGTATTTAATCAGTGAAAATACCTCATATTCAGCAGGGTATTTATAAGTGCATATTAAGAAATTTTATATGAACTTGAAATCACAGAAATCTCTGCAGTAGAGAGTCAAAATTTCAAGTTGTAAAGAACTATATATATAAGAGTATTATTATTTATTATAATCACTGTCTCTAGAACATCTGTTCAGAACTTCTTAGAGAGATTATCTTTCAAAAGAACAGCTCTAATCTGTCTCATGATAGTGCAGATTTCATATTCAGAAACATCATTCTGATGTGATGAATGTGATGCTGTTGATTCTCATTTGATATTATATGAATTTATAACTGTGTGCATATGTGTGAATTGAAAAACATTATTAATATCAGTCTGTAGAAAAGCAGGAACTGTATATCTGAGATTATTCATGAATCTGAGTCACAACTCAAAGTATTGAACAGTCTCATTTTTGAACTTTAAAAAATATACTCAACAGTAGTGAGTTATGTCACAGATGATAAGCATTCAATATCTGATTCTCTGATGAGACTCTAAGAGATGATCAGAGAGATCTTTCAATGTATATTCATTATCTGCAAGATTAATATAAACCTTCTCAATGAGTCAAATAGATCTAGATATTGATGTTTTCAAATAATCTCATATCATATCTGTCTTGACATATTTCTTGTAAAAGAACTTAGTCTTAGAACTCTTAATTGTGACTTCAGTATGAGAATTCTTGGCTATAGCAATTATAGCATCAGTATAAATATGACTGAGATCACAGTGTCAATTCAAAAGAGTCTTTGATATCTTTGATATCTGTGTTCTTGCATCTGCAGAATCAACATTATTAACAGTAGTGACAGCAGTTATAGAAAGATCAACTTTTCAATTAAAATTATACTCATGAGACATCATCACAATATACTTGACTGCTCTGTTCAGATGATTGAAATCCTCATTGAACTTTCACTTGTTAATCTTATATATATTGTTCTGAGTGATCTGAACTGTATGAAAAATAACACTGTTCAGAGCTCTGTAAATGAAAAATGAGGAAATAGTGAAAGATAATGGAAATCAGAATCCCTGATCTTCAAGCTTCATAAATGAGAGCAGATTAACTGTAATATTAGAAATATAGTGAACATTCTATAAGTTAATATCATCATTCTCAATCTTCAAGATAACAGTCTCAATCTTCTTGATAAACTCAGTTTCTTCAGTCACAGAATTAACAGAGATATTATCATTAAAAGATTTGATATTTGAAAAAGAATAAAGCTCATCTATTATATTCAGACTTACACATGTGTTCAAATATTAAGATTTAGAGAATGATTTTTCAGTGACTGTGAAAGAGAAATAGAACTTAATCTTTATAATTACTGCATTTACTGCTGATTAAGAACTTATTAAGTCATTCTTCTTCTCTTTCTTCTTATCATTCTTCTTTTTCTTTTTATCAGAGTGTAAGATGAAACATCTGTCAACAGTATATTCATATCTTCTGCAGTGAGTGCACTTTCATACAGATGTGCTTTTATTCTCATTTTTATTCTTATCTTTGTCTATCTTTATTCTTTTTCACAGTCACAGAATGATCTGAGACTGCTTTTCTACTCAGTGATGATATTCTGAATATATGATTGATCAGTTACTTTATTAAATTATCAATATCAATGTTGACAATGAGTCTCTAGTCAGTGAAGAAAAACTTATTTAAATATGTCTTGATAAATAGTCTTTGATAATTCTGTAGATTGTTGAGAAAAAGATCATGATATATATTCTCAGTGCTCTGACAGAGCTTCTTATAACAGATAATAAGATAGTGAAAATATCTCTGAAAAGTAAGATAATCATTCTTCTTGACTTATAATTTTATTAATTTTTTAAAGATATTAACTTGTTCTTCTATCAGTGATATTATATATTTAATATTAATCTTATCTCACAGAGCTGCAGTATTATCAGCTTTTAAGATTTTAATAGTGATTCAAATGTTTTTAATAAGACTCAATAGTATACATCTATATAGAGACTTAGAACAGATTCTTCACTTCTCAGAGTTAATATAATATGTAAAAGAGAATTCTTATTAAGTTCTTAATAAAATATCAGTTTTATTAATAACTTCTGTATTAATTAATATATCAATATATCAGGCTTCATATTTAGAGTCATCAAATATAATCACTGATTTAATATTTAGTGTATATTTAACTTTCTTCTGATATTCTCACAACTCATTTCTTATAGTGTCTCTTTACACAGAGACAGATATAGTGAGATGTTAAGTAATTTCAGTCACAGTTATCTGATTCTATAGTATTATCTGTATAAGATTTATAAGATTGTCTGCAGTGTAATAGATAGATTGATTCAGATCATCATTAAAAGTCAGTATTTCAAAGATGAGAGATAGTGAAGAATTCAATGAGTTGAAATGAATAGATTCTGCAGATGAATATTAACTCTGCTTTTCTTTATTCTAAAGTTTCTTCATTGTCTCATTATCAAATTTCATACTCTGATGAAAACTGATCTCAGTCTTATCTTGCAAGTCAGAGATCTTCTTATAATAAGTGATTATTCTATCAATAAGTTATCTAGTGAAGTATGTGATTCTGAGTCTTGAGCTGAACTCTGAAGTAACAGATGTATCACTTATATTAAGATGACTCTGCTTCTTCTAGATGTGTAAAAAAAAAAAAAAAAAAAAAAGTGATATTCTTCACAATGAAGAACACACTTTCTTAAAAAAATATATAAAGTATATGAATCTGCTGATCAGCAGATTCAGAGAAAATGAAATATCTCTAATAAAGAGTGAGAGTCTTTTCAAAAAAGATGAACTATTCATGTTAAAAAATATTGATACAATGTTCTAAAAAGAAAAACATGTCATTCAGACTATAATCTGTAGAATAGTTGAAGGTTGTATTGATAGATCTATCTACAGGAACATAATATAGTGATGGGTCACGTGATCTAGTGGGATCGCTAACCGCAACGGCCGTAAGGGCCAACATATTTGTATGGAAATTCGGGATGTAAGCCGCGTTGGTGAGGTTGACATTGAACTGCTTTCCTGCTTCATTTATCATGATAGTTCTAACAGTTCCATAACCTTCAACTTTAGTGCTGGAATCGCCTGTATAGACTTCCGCATTCGCAGGAGTAAAGGATAGGAAACGTGTTCGATTATTGCATATATGCTGTTCCGCGCCAGTATCAAAGATCCAGGAGTTTCGGAGGTAGGAGCGAGAATTTGAAGAGTTCATTGATATTTTTCTGATCTGTTGATCGATAGATTGATGATCGGTAGATTGATGATCGATAGATTGAGGATTGATAGATTGAGGATCTGATTGCTTCAGAACCATTCCTCCCAGGACTGCTTCATTGGCATCTACCATATCTGTATTCATGGATGAATCTCTAGATATCGCACGATCAATGCGTCTCTTTAATCCTTGATTCTTAAGAGCTTGATCGATCTGAGTTCTCTTCTCCCCGTTTTCCTTCCATCCAGGTGGCTTCCTTGATGGATTGAGATAGTAGCACTGGGCGTATCGGTGACGGGCTCCGTAGATGCAGTTTCCGAATGTTGCTGGTGATGAGGATTGCTGAGGTCTTCCATTAAGGGTAGCGAAGTTCATAGATTTATCTCCTTTGAGAATACCCATTTCCCTATACCGTTCCTTGAAGTCCTTAACTAACTCTATCAAAGATATGACATCTTTATCACATCGGACATCCTTAGCCCATGCCTGTGTATATCCTGCATCAATAATCAATAGCTAGGTTCGTATTTAAGAAATCTTTCTTCAAGTTGAACTGTCCAGCTATATCCGCCTCTTTGATATCATCTTCGATGAGTGACCAGTTGTTTAACCACTTCTCTATACCTTTGTTTTTCGGTGCTTTGCAGAGATCATGGTATCGGGTTCTCACATCATCTTGATAGTCTGCGGTCGTGGGGGAGAGTCGATCTCTTAACGAACGGATAATCTCCTTCACATCATCATCCTCACTGCGTACATGTAGCTCTGTGGCATCTACTGTTCTCCATATGACATCTCGTATCTCTTCATTCAATTTCTCATGGCTCCACCACGAACTCGCTCGATTTTTCGAATAAGAACCCGCCGATAGATCCATCGAAAAGCCCTCGATCATACGAGCATTTTGACCCCATCGCCGACCGCATACCCCGTGTGGTGGTGGAGTTATCCAGCCAAATGTGAACCAGACGTTGTTCGGAACTCCTGCGTGGGATTATCCCCCATTCTCCCCTACCACACCACAACCCCGGGCCAAATTGCCATACAAATTGTAAGGTGAAGAGACCTAGCCGTATGCACCAATCTTCTCGATTTTGGAAGATCCCCGATCTGTAGTTGTGGAGATATCTGAGGAGCGACCTCCGCGAAAACCCTGTCCATCTTTGATGTTCCAAAACACCAACGCCAAGTCCCACCCTCGTACCGCCCTTCCCAATCTGGCCCATCCCCAGCAGAAAAATACAAAAAGATACCTCAGTGATAATATCAAGCATATAATCAACAGACAATGAGTCAACAGCACATCAACAACTATAAAATCAGTATATTTCAAGATCTGACTGAGTCTTTGATCCCTGCACAGTGAGATATATTAAATCTAGTTTTAATATCTCAATATTCAATAGATTCTGCAAGAGATTGAGAACAGCAACACTAGATTTCTATTGAATTTGAGAATTAACTCTATATTGATATAATCATTGACAAAGTCTTCTATTTTGAGATATAAATAACCAGTTTCTCTACATCTCACTGACAATATTTATATTATTATATAGAAACAGACTTATATTCTCTATAATATCAAGACTCTGAAGAGGGAAAGTCTTGATAGAGAATATACAGTAGTGCATATCTTAGCAGTTTCTATCTCATTCTTCTGCAGCAGTTAATGCAAAAAAAAAGATCTTAGAAATAGTTTTTTACTTCTCTTGAAAAAGTAAGGTATTTTTCTTTGAGTTTTACACAATATTCTTACAAAGAATTAAAAACAGAGTTGTTTTCTGTCATAATTTCATATTCTTTTAAGTAAGAATTACTTTTTCAGTGACTGAAGAGCTTTCATTAATACTTAATTCTTTTTTACACTCTTTATTAACTGATTTGAGTTGCACACTTGTTGTGTGAGAAGAATTGAATGATTTAGAATAAAATTGAATAGTTTTAATCAATTTCTCTGCAAAAAATTGATTTATTTTTTGTCAGTTTTTCTCTTAAAAACTGTCATATTATCTGATTTATTATCAATTGATATCATACTTTTCCTCACTATATCTCAAGAAAGAGATTATAAAGATTTTATTAATTTATCTTAAAAATCAATTTTAGTTTATTAGATTCTCTTTAAAAATTTAATCTAGTTACTGAACTAGTGTGAAAAAAATCAGGTGTTTTATACATAAAAGTCTTTTATTCTTCTTTTGAAACAGTCTGATCAACTTTTCAATTGAAAACAGACTTAGAAATATCTCAATTGAAACAGTCTGATCAACTTTTCATTGAGTGAAAACAATGAGTTTAAAAATACACTCAGTTGATGTGAAAAAAGATGCTTTCTCAAATGCTATTCCTGAGATTGAAATTCTGAAGAGAAGAAAGAAAGAAGAAATAGAGAAACAACAAGTTCTTAAAATACAGAAACTTGAAAAAGCAAGCAAGATTCTTGAAAAGCAGTGTCTGAGTGAGATGAATGAAGAAGTTCTGTTAATTCTTCATGCTCAGGCTAGACAATTACAGAAGATGATCAAGTTCAAACTTGGAATCTCAAACACAGTTTAAAAAACCTTGAAAATTTCTAGTACAATCACTGACTCTTCATCTTACTCTTCTTCTTTCTGTTTTTCTACTTCTTCTTCTTCTTTAAATTGAAAGAAAATATATGCTTAAACAGCTGAATCTGCTATCTCTAAATCTGCTGTCTCAAAACCTGCTCAAAATCCTGAGAAAACTGAGAAGAATACTGCTCATGTCTCTATTCATAGAAAAGTGAAAAAGAAAATGCAAAAAGAGAAAAACTTTCAAATCTTCAGAAATAGAAGACTTATTCTCAAAGTCTCAAACCAGAATATTCTGTAAAGAAACAAGCTAAACTCAAATCTCATTTTCAGAATTAGAAATGAAATTAATCAGCAGTTCTTTTCTCAGTTAATAACTGATATTGAAGTTCAAAAACCAGTTATAGCTTCAATTGAGTCATCATTCTTTGAAAACTCTATCATTCTGACTACAATGTCTGAATTCAGTGCTGAATTCCTTATTTAGAATGAGAATCTCTGAAAGTCAGCAGTAGAATCTTTGTTAAACACAATAATTCTATCTGAAAGAGATGAAAAGTGAGACAAATTCATTCTTCATGATATTTCAGTTGAAATTTTTGACTGTGAAGAAGAAATGCTACTTCTCAAAAATGAATTGAAAGAATACAACTTCATTCAACTGAGAAAGAAGCCTGTATGACTAAATTCAATTGAATTCAGATAAAGCAGAAGAAATGCCTCTGTTCTAGTATATATAAAAATACTTGAACAGTGAAAGATCTCTGAAGTAAGAGTAGCAGATTTGAAAATGAGAGTTCATGAATACAAAGACTCAAGAATGAATCTCAAAACTCAAACACAGTGTTCAAACTGTCAAAGATATGAATACTTTGCAATCTCATATTTTAGAGACTCAAAATGTGCATTCTGTGTCAGAGATCACAAAACTAGTGAGCATAAATATAAAATATGCTTAAAAAGAGATGAAATTTGTCAACATACTCTGCTTAAGTGCTCTAATTGCAAAGAAAAACATGCATCTAGCTCAAAAGAATGTATATTTACTTCTAGAACTCAAAAGAACTGAAGAAAAGATGAAGCTCAAAGTCAATCTAGAACTGAAGAGAAGAGTCAATTCAGTAGACTTACAACTGTAAGCTTAAAAAGAAGAAACTCTCAACTATCTAAGTCTTCAAACTTCAATTCTCCAGCTAAATATAAATAGAATTTGAATTCTCAAACTTCTGTTAAGATTAGAGAATTGAGAAATAACTCTGATAATAAACTAGATATAATGTAAGTAGTTGAGATTTCTACTTTTCAGAACAGTTATAATCTACTATCTGATAATAATGATTAGATTCTACTCTACTCTCTTTTAGTATGAATATACAACAAAAATAACAAAAAAAGTTTAAAAACTCTTCAAAAATCACATTTATTCAAAATAATGTGAATAGAAACTCAAATTGTATTTATTCTTGTCTTCAAATTGTATTTGAGTAAAAAGTTAATTTTATACTGCTTCAGAAGCCGAATTTTGATGCTGAGCAAAAATATGTCATTTCTCATTCAAGCTACTACTGCTTTTTATCTCAAAAGTCTGAGATAAAGTCAAGAGTAGTGATCTGTGAAAGAAAGAGATTAAGATATCAATTTAATCTAAGATTTAATATTATATCTGACCCTGATATTCTGGTGGGTGATATTATAGATAAAGAAAATGAGTTTAATACTATACAGCTTATAAATATCTATAATGAAAAGTCATTGAAGAAAAATAACAATATCTGAACAATTGATAGAGAATTTCTGAACATAACTTCATCAAGAAACTCTATAATTGTAGAAGATTTCAATGCACATCATTTCTAATGAAATTCAGAATGCAAGAGAGTAGTGAGAGCTGATAATCTGATTGAATGAATCTTTGAGTATTCAATAGATTTGATTAATAAGTCTGATCAACAAACATTCTTTAGAAAAGATATGAAACAGAAGTCTATTATAGATCTAATATTCATATCACAAAATCTAATGAAAAGAAGACTTATAAACTGATTTATTAATTCAAATGAGATATCAGAATCAGATCATGAGATTATTCAATTTAATATTGAACTGAGTGAAAAACAAATGAGTGAAAATTCTCTTCTCTCTAATCAGTATAACTTTGAAAAAGCTGATTGAAAAGCAGTTGAAGAAAGTATAAAACTATTAAAATCTGAAAGATAGAATGAGCTATATTAGAATTCTGATCAAGATATCTCAAATGAAATGCTTAAGAATAGAGTGAAGCTTATTACATCTATTATTCTAATAAGTATTAGAGATAATATTTTAAAAAGAAAATCTTCTAAGTATTCAAAATCTTGATGAAATAAGAATATCTCATCTAAAAGAAAAGAATTAGCTACTGCTAGAAGAGATTGAAAGAATGATATAATATCTGATGAAGAGTTCAAAGCTGTCAGAAATGAACATTTTTCAGATATTAAAAGAGCTAAAACAGACTGCTGAAATAAATTTCTTGAAGAAGTATAAGAGAAGAAAGTTTTTAAAGCTTTTAACTATACTAAAACAAGAAGTGTAGTAAAACTTTCAGTCTTAGAATATAAGTTTCAGAATGAATCATATACAGCAAACTCTTTTAAGAAAAAATATCAAGCTTTTATAAGAATTCTCTTTCAGAACTCATCAGATTCAGATTCAGATTCAGAGAAAGAGAATATATTACTTCTCAACTACATTGATAAAAATAACTGGAAATGATCTGATCTTACACAAGATGAATTAGAGTCAGCTATCTTCTTAAGTTCTGTTAAAACTGCTGCAGATTCTGATTCAATTAATCACTTAATTATTCAAAATACATATTTCTACTTAAAGAATGAATATTTTGAGCTCTTTTTCAATCTCTTAAAAAATGAATATCATTCTGAATACTGAAGAGAAGTCACTGAAGTGATTCTTGTAAAATCTAATAGAAAAACTTCAATTTCTAAGTTATATAGAGTAATATCTCTATTGAACTGTCTAGAAAAGGTTTTAGAAAAGATAATAGCTACTCAACTATCTTTTATAAGCTCTATAGATAATTCTCTTTTATTCAGTGAATAAATGAGAGATAGAAAACAGTGTTCTGTAATTGACACTGTTCTCTCAGTTGTTCATGATATTCAAATAGCAAAGCATGAGAGTCTGATCTCAACTGCAGTTTTTATTAATATAAAAGAAGCATTTGATCATATTTCAAAGTCAAAGTTAATTCAGATATTGAAGATATTAAAACTGTCACTTTCTCTAATAAAATGAGTTAACTGTTTTATATCTAGAAGAATTATATAACTCTTCTTTGATAAAATAAAATAAGATAAGACTGAGATAAAAATAGAAGTATCACAGAGATCTTCAATCTCACTTATTTTATTTACAATATACACTGCATATCTATTCAAAAATAGAAATATGAGAATAGTGTAATTTTCAAGTTATGTGAATGATATTGATCTAGTCTACAGCTCAAAAACTATCAAAGAGAATTTGAAAGTAATTGAAGAAGCTGCAAAGAAAATCTTTGTTAGAGCAGATATCAATCAAATTCAATTTAATATGAATAAAACTGAGTTAATTCATTTCTTTTCTAGATTCAATGAGAAAGAACTATCTCTAACTCTTTTAAATAGAGA